AGAATTACTTCAACCTGGGAGGCAGAGTTTGTAGTGAGCCAAGATCACAGATCACACCACTGCACTCTAGCCTGGGCGACAGAGTAAGACTCCATCCCAAAAAAAAAAAAAAAAAAAAAAAAAGCAGATTTCAGAAAATCCAATCACCTCTCATCCTATCTGGCTTTCCCTCACAAAGGCTCAGATCTCTTAACTATGATAATTCAATCTTTCCCCCAACTCCCACTCACAATGCCCCAAAAAAACTTTTGTTATCTATCCAATTTGTTTAATGCAGTTCTTAAAGGATCTCAATCTGGGGTAGCAATATAAAATTTGTCATTCCCAAGAATCCAAAATACTTCTCATATAATATATCCAATCCCAAAGAGTCCTGTAATCCCAGCACTTTGGGAGGCTGAGGTGGGCAGATCACTTGAGCCCAGCCTGAGCAACATGACAAAACCCTGTGTCTACCAAAAATACAAAAATTAGCCAGGCATGGTGGCATGTGCCTGTGATCCCAGCTACTGGGGAGGCTGAGGTGGGAGAATCATTTGAGCCTGGGAGGCAGAGGTTGCAGTGAACTGAGATCACTCCACCGTACTCTAGCCTGGGCAACACAGTGAGACTTTATCTCAAAAAAAAAAAAAGAAAAGAAAAAAAATCAAGTTTCTGAGGTATTGCCCCTACATAACCATTTATCTTCAGGCTCTAAGTCTTCAGTGTACTCACAGATATATACAAGTATCTCCCAAATTTCCAATCCTTAGTAATGTATCAAATACACTATTTTCAGCACTGTCCTCACAGAATAACTATAAGGTAATAAGATCAATTTTCTTACTGGTTTGCTAAGTGGCTCAAAAAATGTTTTGAGCAATGATACCATCATTAGAATAAGTATAAAGATACCCAAGATAAAAATAGAAAACTGCAGTTGAATTCCTAATACAATATGTATAATACTTATCTTCACATCTCATAAAGTTAAGGATGGCCTGATCACTTACTTTCCATTTTGCTGAGGCACGCTGGAAAACACCTTGTACCCGGTGTACAATAGAATTCTCAATCTCATCCTTCTTAAATGAATATCCAATGCGCTAAAGGGGGACATAAAAAACAAAGCCTCAGCTTAATCACATTTGTCCAAAACAGCATTCCTACTTGACCACTGAATGGTACTGATGAAGCAAACAAATAATTACAAATATCCATTACAGGCATATCACCACACAGTTTTATCCACACTGTCTCCCAAACACAAGTCCTAACTATACCGTCAGTCATACTGCTTAGTTCTGTATTTTTTTTCCAACTTCTAGAAAATGCTCTACTTACTGTTCTTCTTCTTTGGATCAGCTCCAAAAGATTAATTTCATACTATGAAGGAAAAACATACAAAAAAATTAGAAGCTAGAAAATCTAAAACCTTTTACATACTGGAAATTCAGTTAGTCATAAAACAAAACTCAACAATATAAAATAAAAAATAATGTGCTATCACATAAGCATAATTTACAATAAATGTCTAGAATTCACTTAAAATTCACTTAGCTATAAAACTTA